TACCTAATCAGTTAAGTCAGCTGCCACAGTGTACCTAATCAGTTAAGTCAGCTGCCACAGTGTACCGAATCAGTAAAGTCAGCTGCCACAGTGTACCTTATCAGTTAAGTCAGCTGCCACAGTGTACCTTATCAGTAAAGTCAGCTGCCACAGTGTACCTAACCAGTAAAGTCAGCTGCCACAGTGTACCTAATCAATAAAGTCAGCTGCCACAGTGTACCTTATCAGTAAAGTCAGCTGTCACAGTGTACCTTATCAGTTAAGTCAGCTGCCACAGTGTACCTATTCAGTTAAGTCACCTGCCACAGTGTACCTAATCAGTTAAGTCACCTGCCACAGTGTACCTATTCAGTTAAGTCACCTGCCACAGTATACCTAATCAGTAAAGTCAGCTGCCACAGTGTACCTAATCAGTTAAGTCAGCTGCCACAGTGTACTGAATCAGTAAAGTCAGCTGCCACAGTGTACCTTATCAGTAAAGTCAGCTGCCACAGTGTACCTTATCAGTAAAGTCAGCTGCCACAGTGTACCTAATCAGTTAAGTCAGCTGCCACAGTGTACCTAATCAGTTAAGTCAGCTGTCACAGTGTACCTAATCAGTTAAGTCAGCTGTCACAGTGTACCTAATCAGTTAAGTCACCTGCCACAGTGTACCTAATCAGTTAAGTCAGCTGACACAGTGTACCTAATCAGTTAAGTCACCTGCCACAGTGTACCGAATCAGTAAAGTCAGCTGTCAAAAACCCTAGTTACATTTCGCTAATTTTCTGACAGTTGACTTTACTGATTCGGCACAGAGTGCCTTAGCGAGATATTTTCAGCAGTTTAGATTCGAGACACCTGTCACTTTAGTACTTTCCTCGACAAAGAAAAGGTTTTCGAAAGCTGGCTTAATAAGTTTTCATTTCCTGTTTGTGTTGAAAACAAACTTAGACTTAATTATTCATACCAAACTGATGTATTTTATTCCAAAAGTAAAATGACTACTTTATCATCAGTTGTACGTGTTGTTCTATCGTGTTATTTAAAATATATATCAATATATAAGGGAAAGCAATAAACCCAGAGGCAGCTTGGGAACCCAATCTGATGTCAACTCCATTATGTACACAGACCGACACATTTTGGAGTACTATACAAATGGCATTATGAATGTTTCCATACTTAATTTTATTAAGGAGAAATATCATCATCATGTATCAGCTATTTACATAAACACACATACAGCTGAGGACAACATAATATCATTTATTTGGATAAAACTCACGCAATCAGGGTCAGAAATGCATTGATATATCACATAGCTATACAAAACATACAGTGAGGGGTCATATAATATAAAGTTTATTAAAGATATACACAAACCATTCGATTAGGGGTTTATCATTACAATGTGTACCAAATATTTACATTAACAGTACATTTAGGGCTGATATATGAATGATATATATGATATTTATACAAACTACATAAATTTATACAAACTACATAAATAGGGGTACCATACTATAATATGTACACAAACCGCGCCGTTCAGGTTATTGTTACTTTAAGGTTATCATATGGCAATTTCTATATCCTACACCGTATCTGCCCGAGAATCAAATATTAGCTATTAGCCCGAGGGGCTGGAGGCACGAGGGTTGATATGGGTCGAAAGCTGATGCGGCGTAGTATATGGAAACAGTACTATATGATAACGTATTTATCATATACTATCTATAACAGAATAATAATGCCAATAACACATAAAACACACAGCAAATTTCATGTTTCATTTAATCACATTTAACCTTAAAATAATACACAATGAACAGCATAACAAACACAGATCGATAGGATGTGTCTAAACTATCAGGTTGTTTCACCCACTGTCCGAGGATTGAGACGCGACATTTAAAAAAATGTTGAACAGGAAGTCAAACGGATATGGCGCGTGCCGAGCAGAGATGGCGCGTGCCGAGCAGATATGGTGTTGGTTAGGGATATGACCTATACACAGCTAGCCGTATCGCACATGCAATGTAACCCTTATTACTGAAAAGTATATAATAATATGATTTACTACCTTTACACAAACCACATAAACATGGCTAATATCACAATAGAATATCAATTATTCACGCAAACCACACAGTTAGGGCGTTTACACCGACGACATAATTAGGGCAAGTGTTACAAGGATATATCAAGGATTAACACTCACAATACAATTAGCGGTACCATAACATTAATTATCAAATATTTCAATTGCACGAGGATAAAATATCTCTTTAAATAAAATAAAATTATCACACAAACTTTGAGTAAAGGTTATTAAAATGATAATATGAAAAACAAGAATATTTAATTATCAAATGTTTACATAAGCTACCTTGCCATGAGTTAAGGTAACAAGGGTGTATCAAGTTTTACATTAATTCATACATAAAGAGATAGAGTTAAATTATGTAAAATATGAACTATCTACACACAAAAAACAAACATTTACAAAATAATGCACAAAAAAATCTCGCATGTGTTCTGTGTTTATCATAAACTACCAAAACAATGGCTTGCAACTTGTGTGTTTCTTTAAAATCACGAACACTTCTATTCCAGAATTTCAGACAAAGCACACGGGTAGTCATTAAGTCTTGTCTTGTTATTCTTATGCTTCGTTTAAGCCTACAAAAACTGCCAGACATATTGTATCCTATTTCAAATTACAAACGTAAGAATGTTAACACTAAATACCCGAGTTTTTCACTGATGTCAGATGTTCATGTAGCCACAACGTAAAATATACCTCACAAATATATCTAAAGGTGTAAAATAAAATATACCTCACAAATATATCTAAAAGTGTAAAATAAAATATACCTCACAAATATATCTAAAGGTGTAAAATAAAATATACCTCACAAATATATCTAAATGTCCAAACAAAAGTTGCACACCAGTTGTGACACATCAGATTACTATTACTAAATCCCGAATGGGAAAACATATTCTCAAACAGTTCTCAGGTTGTTCTAAAACGTCTTCTCAGGTTTTAT